TTTCTCCATAGGGAAGATGCGGGAAGGAGTTTGTTGACGACAGACCAGTTGCTTGGAACTAACACTCCTCTCCCGGCGGCGCTCCCGAATCCGATTATCCAACCTGATTGTGAGTGAAATAAGATTATCCAGTGTAGGCGATACATCATATGACACCAACTCATCTTTTAAAGTCTCAGACAAAGCATTGATGAACGCTCCTTGTAATGCCTCGTCATTCCAACCGCTCAACGCCGCTAACGTCCGAAACTCCACTGCCATCTCCGCCACACTGCGAACCCCCTGCCGAAGAGACAACAACCGTTTCGCAGCCTCCTTGCCCCGTACGGGGTGGTCAAAAACCTTCCTCATCTCAGTGGAGAAGGCCACGTAAGCGTTGCAAATGTCCGACTGACTCTCCCAGACCGCGGATCCCCAGGCACGAGCGGAACCGCTAGTAGAGTTGATAAGGTAGGCAATACGGGCTCTTTCTGAGGCGTAGGTGAGGGGCTGTTGTTCAAACACTAACGAGCATTGAGTCAAAAATTCACCACAGGTTCCCATGTTCCCATCATAGCGCTCTGGAGCAGGAACAAAAGGCTCTCTGATCTGGGCTGGAGGGCCAGGAAAAACAGGTGGAGCAGGAGAAGGGGCAGTTTTTATGCCATGCCCGAGGGTTGCATTATTAACTTGGGTAGTAAGGACAGACACCTGATTGGTGAGTAATTGAACCTGATTAAACAGCACCTGACTGTTCTCAGCAATAGTCTTAAACAGGGTATCATGTTGGCCAAGTAAAATGTCCTGATTGGCTATAGCAGTCCGAATTTGAGTGCACTCTGGGGTGGTATCCGAGCTACTGTCTGCTGGGTTCATGTTGGTCAGATCATACTGTCATGATTTAACTGGATTAGAACCCAAATGCAGACAAGTACACCAAGCCAGAGAAGGTTTAACAGGTTTATTTACAATGTTCAAAAAGTCCAGGTTTCCAATAATAGGGGAAGAGCAAGTCCAGGTTACAGGGAGGGTAACAGATCCAGGTCAGGGCAGGTGTGGTACCGTAATGTCCTAGTGTCCGTGGTGAGTCCAAAAGGGAGGTCCGGTAGTGGGGAGCAGGATGGTGGTGGCAGGAGTGAAGCGGAGGCAGAAGTCAGGTTCCCATAATATGGTCGTCTTGACTATGATCTGACGATGAGTGGAAAGTTTGACCGGGTCTTAAAGGCTGAGGTGATTATGGTGAATGAGCTGCAGCTGGAACCCTGACTCCCGCACACCAGACTTCACTCCTGCAATCAAGGACAGACAGAGGGGAGGGGGAGAGCAGAGAGAGAGCTACCTAGCAGCAGTAGGCCTAACAGTATCTGGAGCATCAGCAATTGTGGGTTTGATTACAGGCTCAAAATGGCCAGAAACAAATCACTTTCTTCTGAAACTTGTCAGTCTATTCTTGTTCTGAGAAATGAAGGCTATTCCATGCGAGATATTGCCAAGAAACTGAAGATCTCGTACAACGCTGTGTACTACTCCCTTCACAGAACAGCGCAAACTGGCTCTAACCAGAATAGAAAGAGGAGTGGGAGGCCCCGGTGCACAACTGAGCAAAAGGACAAATACATTAGAGTGTCTAGTTTGAGAAACAGACGCCTCACAAGTCCTCAACTGGCAGCTTCATTAAATAGTACCCGCAAAACACCAGTCTCAACGTCAACAGTGAAGAGGCGACTTCGGGATGCTGACCTTCTAGGCAGAGTTGCAAAGAAAAAGCCATATCTCAGACTGGCCAATAAAAATAAAATATTAAGATGGGCAGTCTGAGATATGTATTTTTCTTTGCTACTCTGCCTAGAAGGTCAGCATCCCGGAGTCGCCTCTTCGCTGTTGACGTTGAGACTGGTGTTTTGCGGGTACTATTTAATGACGTAAAAATATGAGTATGAACGTTTGACAAGAATGGTAGGTACACTTTTATTTTACAAAATCCATTGGCACAACATAACATACCAAATATTACAGTGTCATGGACATCAATTTCAGTAGCAGTCTGCCAACACGCACACGCATACAGTATACCTCACTCACTCACTCACTACAAACTAGTGACAATATCACCCCATTACACATATTACAGTCATTTAACAGTTTGCTCATGTCACATCTGACCACAATTTTCTTACAGTATTTTTGACACGGTCATCTACAGTTCATGAATAAGTAAACACCAGAAGTGTGAATGATGTAAATGCATATAATTTTCAGTCATAAAAGTAAGCTGGAGGTGAGCTATGGCTTTACTGTGACCATGGGCCAGGTCCAACCCAGTTTTTACATGGTTCTCATATTATATAGCCATGTCTTTCACTTTGTAAGTTGACCCATGCGTGTAAATGGCACTGAACAAAGTGAGTGTTTATTTCTGTAAGCCCCTTACCACTCTTCAACGCTCAAGGCTTTGTCAGTTACATATCACGACAAGTGCCAATCCTTTGAGGAACCAGGGTAAGGGGATCGGTGTACTGTACTGTTCAGACTTACGTAAGCTGTGAACATATTATTATCCAATGAACAGATTTTGGGGTTCAAACAAAGTTCAACTAAAATGAACTGAACTACAAAAACCTGGCAATTTTCAACAGGCAAGAAAACATCTCAAAAAAAAGTGCACAAAAACAAATTCCCAATAAAGAGGCAAGAGTAGTGTAGTCTTTGCTCAGTATTTGGAAGACTGCATTTAATAGATTTATGACATAATACTGCCATAATAGAAAACCTTAGAGCATGCTATACCACTAACAGTAACAAGATCCAATTACTGACCAACAAAAACAATTTATACAGTGCATTCGGAAAGTATTCAGACCCCTTGATTTTTTCCACATTTTGTTACATTACAGCCTTAATCCGAAAATTGATTAAATAGTTTTTTCCCCCCTTGATCAATCTACACACATTACTCCATAATGACAAAGCAAAAACAGGTTTTTATACATTTTTGCAAATGTATAAAAATCAAAAAAACATACTTACATAAGTATTCAGACTCTTTACTCAGTACTTTGTTGAAGCACCTTTGGCAGCGATTACAGCCTTGAGTCTTTTTGGGTATGACGCTACAAGCTTGGCACACCTGTATTTGGGGAGTTTCTCCCATTCTTCTCTGCAGATCCTTTCAAGCTCTGTCAGGTTGGATGGGGAGCGTTGCTGCACAGCTATTTTCAGGTCTCTCCAGAGATGTTTGATCGGGTTCAAGTCTGGGCTCTGGCTGGGCCACTCAAAGACATTCAGAGACTTGTCCCGAAACCACTCCTGCGTTGTCTTGGCTGTGTGCTTAGGGTCGTTGTCCTGTTGGAATGTGAACCTTCGACCCAGTCTGAGGTTCTGAGCACTCTGGAGCAGGTTTTCATCAAGGATCTCTCTGTACTTTGCTCTGTTCATCTTTCCCTCGATCCTGACTAGTCTCCCAGTCCCTGCCACGGAATAACCTCCCCACAGCATGATGCTGCTACCACCATGCTTCACCGTAGGGATGGTGCCAGGTTTCCTCCAGACGTGACGCTTGGCATTCAGGCCAAAGAGTTCAATCTTGGTTCCATCAGACCAGAGAATCTTGTTTCTCATGGTCTGAGAGTCCTTTAGGTGCCTTTTGGAAAACTCCAAGCGGGCTGTCATGTGACTTTTACTGAGGAGTGGCTTCCGTCTGGCCACTCTACCATAAAGCCCTGATTGGTGGAGTGCTGAAGAGATGGTTGTCCTTCTGGAAGGTTCTCCCATCTCCACAGAGGAACTCTGGAGCTCTGTCAGAGTGACCATCGGGTTGTTGGTCACCTCCCTGACCAAGGCCCTTCTCCCCCAATTGCTCAGTTTGGCCGGGCGGCCAGCTCTAGGAAGAGTCTTGGTGGTTCCAAACTTCTTCCATTTCAGAATGAAGGAGGCCACTGTGTTCTTGGGGACATTCAATGCTGCAGAAATGTTTTGATACCTTTCCCCAGATCTGTACCTCGACACAATCCTGTCTCGGAGCTCTACGGACAATTCCTTCAACCTCATGGCTTGGTTTTTGCACTGTCAACTGTGGGACCTTATATAGACAGGTGTGTGCCTTTCCAAATCATGTCGAATCAATTTAATTTACCACAGGTGGACTCCAATCAAGTTGTAGAAACATCTGAAGGATGATCAATGGAAACAGGATGCACTTGAGCTCAATTTCGAGTCTCATAGCAAAGGGTCTGAATACTAATGTAAATAAGGTATTTCTGTCTTTTATTTTTAATACATTTGCAAACATTTCTGAAAACCTCTTTTCACTTTGTCATTATGGGGTATTGTGTGTAGATTGATGAAGGAAAACAATAATTTAATCAATTTTAGAATAAGGCTGTAACTTAACAAAATGTGGAAAAAGTCTAGGGGTCTGAGTACTTTCCGAATGCACTGAATGTCCAAGACATATACAGTACATCACAGACGTACAAGGTTGGTGGTCCAATCCCCTTGCATCTGCATCAAGCTATTAGAGCGCTGCTTACGGCCACCGCTTTTCATCCAGCACCATTGTTTCAACCACTTCATAAGTCTTCTCCTTTGCAGAGGACAGAGCACTGGGTTCTGGACCTGAGGTGAATCACTGTGTCCCATTTCCTTAGTGCTGGAAGTTGAAGATATCTTAAAGGTACTGTACCTCCACTCAATTAAACCAGTTCAGCAGTTCAACAGTAAGCTGGAGAAGGGGGAGTATCTTACTCCTTATGGTGATTGAGAAATTCACAGTAATGTTACACAACCATCCAACAGTGTCGGTCATTGACCTATTCCCTAGATTTGAATTCATCTCCCTGTTTGTCTCTTGGATGAGGACTTTTCAGGCACAAAGTCTGTCGCATTTTGTTCAAGGCCATGCTGGTCATCTTAGCTTCAACCAAACTAAATACAGCAATAGCTGACAGGAAAACAAAGTTGAATGTTTGCGTGAAAGAAAAGGGAAGCTGTTTTGATATGTATTCCCTTTTGTCGTTTCTACCTCATACCACAACTTTGAGACTGTCATCGGCCTTGGGTTTGGCTGTCTCCCCAGTCATTCTTGGCACCTTTGGGCTGGAAGTGGCCTTTCTGGTTGTCAAGGGGCTGTTCAGTTCTTTTCTCTGTAGCTGGGGGCTGGATGAGCCCAACTTCCTGTTGAGCTGAGGGCTGGACGAGCCCAACTTCCTGCCGAGCAGGGGGCTCCGTGAGCCTTTGATTTTGGGGGGCTGCTGCAGGGTGTCCATGGGCTTCAGGGTTCTCAGGCTGAGAAGCCCACAGTAGTAGTTACACTGATGCTGAGTAAGGAACTGCTCAAACACCTTAGGAGAACCATCATCTGTAAGGCCTTGATACCTGCAATGCAGAAGTAATTTCCTTAGAGTTGGATAAGATTATGTGGACCAACTGGTAAAACATTAGCACACATATAGGCTTACTTCAAATAATAGCATCAACAGTGTTGGGGAGTAGAGAACTACATGTAGTTCAACTAGTAATTTAACTACATATAGTAGTAGCTTGTTGGTAGTTGAACTTAATTCAAATCTAGGTAGTGTTTTCAGTTGTTCATTACTTTTTGTAGTTCCAATGTAGCTAACTATTGGAACTACACACTACCTTTTTGTTTTGCAAAAAGATAAGAAAATATGGGTGAAGTAGGCAACCATTTAATTTATTTAGGCATCAGACCTGCTTAATTCTCACTTGAAATGTTTAATAGGCTAAATTACACATTCTGTTTTACATATGACCCCAAAGTGATCTGCCCTGGCAATTTGTAGTCTATGACATTTCAGATTTACATATGATAATTTTTCACTTAGAAGTTTGGATGTAGTGAACTACTTTTTCAAAATAACTATAGTTAATTAAACTTGATTTTTCTTAAGGGTAGCTGTAATGTAGCTGAACTTCTTCCAGTGTGAAGTAATTGGTAGCTTGGTAATCTATATTTTCAGAGTAGCTTCCCCAACACTGAGCCTCAATATGTATTTCCATATGACAACCTAAATATTTAATGATATTTAGATATACAAACCCCTTCAATTTTGTGACGATTCTAATTTTAGTGATCTTTGGTCCAACACCTGAAATAAACAAAGCACATGGATCATTTTGTTGTTTGAACTGCCTTTTGTTCATCTTTTTCTTTTGAGAATGACCTTGTCTGCTAGTCTTTCTTACCCTCCAGCCCAGTGACCAGTAAGTTGCCATTTGTCCATTGGTGGATCCAATGCTGGAAGGAGCAGCATTTCATTTCCACCTCTGAGGTGGCTCTGGTGATCAGCCTGCCTTTGGCATCCATCATACAGTACTTGAGGAAGATGCCCTTCAGGTCAGCCTCCACAGTGGCGTATGGGATGGAGTTGGCAGGGCGGTACATCAGATAAAGAGGGCTCACTCTGTGTAAGCATGCAGAAAAACAAAGGGAAAGAATGACGTAACCATACTATTGTGTATTGATAATGATCATTGATAATGATCAAAATATGAATTGCAGTCATTATATTACTTACTCCAGTGAAAAGCCAAAGTTTTCAATCACCCTCGCCTCAGCAGCAAAGATTTTGCAATACTCCCGAACTGTGTTATGGATTTTGCACTCCTGGTGAGACAAAATGCAAAGATGCATTGCATTTGTGTCACATTTTCTTTTTTCCATAGGCTTTTTCTATACACTCAGGGGTCCTCCAGAGGCTCTCCAATTCAATTTTAAACTAATCAAAGCCCGTTAAGCATTGGTATGAACCCTGGACTCTTTTAGTTTCTTAAATCTGTACCTGAATGCTGTTCTTTTGTCATCCCACCAGAGGTCACCAGGGTGGTATTCATTAGGGCATACCGTAGAAAATGTTTTGCAACAGAAAACGGTCATTAACGTTTCTTATTGGACAAGTTCAGGTAGTCAGTTCCCTCCCTGTTTCAGTCCATTTTCTTCTGTTTGGTGCCTAATGAATATGACCCAGTACAGATGACTTCCTATGCTTCAATACCAAGTCAGAACAATACATAACACTACAGGAGGGCTGTCCTCATGATGTAATGTACTGTAGATGTACAGTAAGACTCACCTGCTTAGTCATTTCCATGTTTCTCTCTGCAAGGTTGCTGTCCTCTTTGGTCCCATAGGCAATGGGGTTTTGTACTTTGATGATGCAGTTGGTTCCGGACTCAAACACAGGGTCCAGGCCATAGATGACCTTCACCCTGCAGGCCTTGTGTTCACAGCCCTCTCCCAGGTTGGCCTCTTGTGTCATGATGCGTCCAAAGAACTTATCCCCCCAGTAGCCCGGGTCTGCAAGGCCTTTGGTGAATAGCATTGGAGTCATTTCTATCTCTTCTCCAACTGTAAAGGACAGAATATGATAGACAATCTCAGAAACTCTCCACAGGAGCAATAACAATGTGTTATATCATAGCAATAAGGTAGTCAACAATACAGTAAGTATAAGTTAATACTGTATAAACCTCCTCAGTGCCTGTGAGGCTTACCCTCTAAATCCTTACGCAAGAAGTACTCTGAAAGTACTGCAGAAAAAGAAAAAACAAACACAATTAGTAACTCATGGAACAAATGGTTGAAATAATGTTGTGGGATTTGAAAAATGCCATTTAGTTAAAATAATTTACTGTCTACACTGAGAAGAAAGTCAGTTGAATCAGTCCCAAATTCGTTCTTGATTGTGCAGCCGTACACCCCACAATCTTGACTGGATGTCTGGACGATGGCCAGCGCTACTTGGCTTTCATCTCCTCCACTGGGAAATAAAGGAAGATAAAAAGGTTGACGTGACACAAGACACACGATCACAGCATATTCAATATTGTGTTCACCTCCACAAGAGGTCACTGTGGGACTGAGACAGACAGTAGTGCTGCGTGCCGTGCTTGCGTGAGGGGAGATTTTGCTGGCCTAGCAGCCAATAGCACAGATATACACTTTAAACCCCCCTGGTGATGGCGAAATAGTGTCTCAGTTTTCAGTGGCTGTGTCTGGCCAAAGCTTCACCTCCCTGTGTCACAGTCAGGCTCACAGCTGTGGGCTCGCTGGTCACATAACATGGACACCTCCCAGAGTTAAAGGCTGTTCATCTTCACAACATTAGTCCTTCATATATAGCACTGGGCCCAGTTTAACCAATCAATGGGGCTATTAATGAATGCTTACAGTAATCCTGTACAAAGCAACTGTTTTCAGAGGGCAGGTGTCTAATACTGTAAATGCATGATGCTTTGATCAGCGTGAATATAAATGCCATTTCATCACTAGATTGTATTGCAATCAGTTACTGTAAACTCTCGGATGGGAGATGCCCTAGGGATTTACCTTCTTTTCACCTCAACTATCTCTTCCTCGTCCCTGTACCACTTGATTGAGGAGTCACTGAGCACGTTGAAGAACTGGCACCAGAGCTTCAAGTGTCCTGAGGCATCTGGGAAGGGCTCTCCCCTGATTTTACGGATAACCTGAGGAGCTAGGAGGGGGGACACAAGGTAAAGGTATACTGTACATGATTCTCTCTAACGTTTCCACTTCATTCAGTGGCAGCTTCCTGATCAGCCCCTGCTGATAGGAGACACCAACACCAAGAGATGGGCATACAAACAATATTGGATTAATAATAGTTTATTGTTTTACCTTTGAAGGGGTTCAGCTTCTCCTTCTCAGGAGGTTTGACCTCAGTCTTGGGGCTCTCTGGCTCCTGGGTGCTGGTCTCCACAACTTTGGGCACCTCCAGGGTGGCCTTCCTACGGCTCAGCAGAGGGGAGCGTCTCTCCAGCGGTGGGGTCTGTGAGCCTGCTGGGGCTTGCAGGAATACTGCCCTGCGAGCCTGACTGGGCGACAAGTATGGAGCCACCTCCTTGACCTGGGTGTCCAGTGGACTACCACCCACACCCAGCGCCACCACTACCCCAACCCCTTCTCCCTCCCTGGGGATGAAGATCTTGCGGCGAGCTCCAGATGCCAGCTCCTCAGGCGTGGCAGAGCGGATGAGGGTCAGACTGTCCCTTCTTTTCAGCCTGGGGCTGCTCTCACAGGACAGGGAGGATGTTGGGGTGTCTCCACCACTCTGCTCCAATCCTGCCTTCTCACTGTTAGCAGGATCATCCACAGTAATGGCAGGGGGTGTCCTGGACATAAACCTGCGAAGAGTACTGGGACTCCTGGGGGGTGTTGGCGGTTTGACAGCAAGCCTCTCAATAGGGGTTCTTTCTCTTGGTTCATCGCCAATGATGTAAGACTCTATCCTTGACTCTTTGAGTGGTTTTACCTTATCAGTTTCATTAATACTGATGTCCTCAGCTTTTTGGATTGTTGTTTCTTCTGTTGGCATTGAGGGTTTATATGACACAGAGGTGGTGTTGTCTATCACACTCTGTTCCTTTGTTTCTATAGTTTGTTTCTGTGGAATACTATGGGGTTTGTCAGACTCAGGGGTAGAATAATTTTCTAAATCACTCTTGACCCCCCTGAGCATATCTGCCAATGATTCTGATTCTTTACTCTCATTTTTAAGAAGCTCTTTGCTTTCTAAAGGGCTATCCTCACAGATTACAGAAATAGGAGGGACCACAAACAAAGGCACTTTGGGTGCTTCCTCTGGCTTTCCTCTATCTAAGACGGGGGGCTTGACTTGTGGATGCTCATGGTCTGTTTTCCTGAGTTCACTGTCATCAGTATATGAAACATTTATTTTAGGAATTAACTTAATATCTGTCTTTGTGAGGCACTCACTCTTAGATGGTTGCTCTGCCATAGGCGTTTTTGCCTCTTCAACTGGTTTAACTTCCTGCACTTTCTCCGTTGTTTGGATGATAATATTATTCCACTTACTTTCTTGAGTGGGTGTCACATCTATTGTCACTGGGGTAACAGCTGCACTTTTTTCTGTGATCATTATGTCTGAAACTTCGTTTGCATCATCCTTTTGGAAAATGTCTGGCTCTGATGTAGGTTCATTGGGTGTAATTGGTATTAATGGCTGTTTAGGCTCTTTGACTTCTGGTTCCGTAATCTCTATATTTGGTATAATCATTTGCTCTTCTTTTGTCTGTTGTTCTGTCACAATAATTTTGATTTCTGGGATTTTAAGAGCAGAATCTACGATTCTAATCTCTGTTACATTTCCAGAATATCCACCCAGATGAGTGGCATTAGCCTTTCGACTGGTAACTGATGCTGACACTGGCTGCTCAGCGGGCACAATGGCAGAGCCTCTCACAGGCTGTGTCTCTGAGTGGCTCTTAGATTCACCCAGCATTTCTACCGTTATCTCAGTCACAATTTCTTCCATTTCAACCTGTCTCTCAATAGTGAGGGTCGGCACCTCATTTCTCTGTAATCTCACATTCTGTTCCTCAGCCATCTTCTGCGCAATAGGTGCCACCTGTTTTTGGTTGCCAAATGAACAGTCCATTAAACTTTTCTCCAAAGCAGGAGTACATTCCACTTTTACGGCACTTTCAACACTTTTCTCCAAAGCTAAGGTAGATTTCCTTTTTGTGTTGAGATCATTGTCCTCTATGCTCTCCTCTGCCACAGGAGGGTATTCATCTGGTATTAGATCTCTATTCTTTAAACTATTTTGGAGCAAAGTGGAAGAAGATTCCTCCAAGCTTTTGAAATGTATCTCCGACTCCTTTTTATGTATCTTCTCTCTACTCTCCTCTAAAACTGGGATGCATTCCATGTGTGCTTTTGAAGAAATTGTCTCTACATTCTCTTGCAAAGTATCAATATACTTGTCTTGTGATTTAGAATCTTGTGTATTAACTTTATCATCCAAAGTAAAAGTCTGCTGCTCTTGTGTTTTAAAATGGCATGTTTCAATTCTCTCTTCCACAGCAGGTGTTTTGAAATCAAATATCCCTGCACTCACATTTAAAGTGGGACATGGTTGACTCTCTGCTTTTACATCACCTTTCTCTCCTTGATTCTTATAGACACTTTCAATGCCCTTCTTATCCACATGCATTTCCTTCTCTTTTTCACTTTTGATGGTCACTGTCATTAGGCCCTGGCTGACTGTGGGTGGGACATTACTGTTAGGAGCACTCCCACTGTCATCCATACTAGTGAGGTTTGACATGTGGGGACCTGCTCCACTGCTGGGGTCTGGGTTCCGTGTTGAGTCAAATATACCCTGTTTGTGTAAATCTTCAGTTTTGTCATTATGTCTTGTCACCTGAACAGTCCCGGATGAAAACACTTGGATGTTTTGCTCATGTGGGGCTGAGACAACCACGTGGGGGACCGGGTCTGTCTGGGTCTGGTCCTCGGCAGCCTTGAGGCAAAAACAACACATCTGTTTAGTACCACATGACATCAACACTCACATAGTATTTGGAAAGCCCTGAACAACACCATAATTAATAACAACACCATGATAACTACTATGTTTGGATTTACCTTAGTGGTAGCCGATATAATCATATTATTTTGTGACTGTGAATCTTTATCTACACTTAGCTTTGGGGAAGTACCACAACCCAATAATGATTATCTGCAACGGAAAGGGGTTTCAAATCATTGACAAACTATTTGTTATGGCCAACCACGTGACCAAGGACCAGTATGTTCACCTTTGACTATTGGACACTTAGTGCTTATTTTAGACTGTTGTTATTATGTTTTCCATAATAAATCAGTTTTAAAGAATGACCAGAGATATAATATAATTCCAAAACATTTAGAGATCCCTATCAGAGTTTGGTAACACTTTATTTGGATAGACCCAAGGAGATGGTTTGTAGATGTTCCGTAGATGTTCAATAACTGTCAACAACATTTCAACTAACTATCTACTAACCCTAGCTCTAACCTTAAGCCTTATCCTAACCCTTTTTCTAAACCTAAGCCTTACTGTAACCTTAGCAAGCAGTTTCTTATCAACAGATAGTTTGTTGATATATGACCATCTGAAGGTAATCTACAGTATATGGGAATATCCAAATAAAGTGTCACCCAGAGTTTTCAACATAAGTGAACTGTATAACCTTGGTGAACATGTTATATCAGCAAACGTGTACATAATGTTTGTGTGACCACGGACAAAAAAAAAAAAAAAAAGTACAACCTGTCAGTTTTCATGAACTCCCCCTTACCATATCGATTAGGCTCAAGGTTAATTGAAACCAAGTGTTGGCAAATGTCAAGTGTTTAAAAACGTGCAGCTTTATCTGCACCAGATAAGGTAAACGGTTCCTATTTTTTTCCACACAAGGAAAAAACCTGTAATCCAAATACTGCTACTGTATTACATATGGCAGTCTAATCAGCAAAATAATCATATGCTCTGATGATACAATGAATGATGCAATAAATTCAACCATTCTATCCTTTATTCTATTTCAGGCTTTTCTATTTTGCAGTAATGTATTTAAAGGGGGACCATGTGTTGGGATAATTCAGGTATTTCGTTGTCAGGTAGGTTAAATGATGCTGAAAATTGACCTGTTGTGTTGAAATTGGGGATTTCCCCAGTCTTTAACAGGTGTGTTGTTTGCACAATGAGCTAGTGAGCTGAATGAATGAGTGCCTATCTGTTGGCAAGGGAATATAAACTCATCCCATTGCAAGTGACTAATGCTCAAAGTAATTTGCCGTTGCTGAGCACATGCTTAGAAAATGTAATTGTCATTGGGGAAATAGGGACAACACGTGATTTTAACATAAAAGTCATAAATTATATTTGTATCAACATGTTTACTGTTTTGAAAAACGAAGCCTTTAAAAAGTAACAATGCCTGTGGCAAAAGCAGTTTCCATGTTAATTAAAACAATCAGATGCAGAAAAATTATATTCTAATGCAATATTTTTCCTGGATTCCAGGTTTGTTTGAAGAGCACTATGTAGTATAAATATCTGAATAATAACATTTATCATTTTGAGAAATCTATGTGAGTCCTATCTACAACTTCCCCTGCCTTTTTTCTCAGGTCATTCATTTTCTTATGTGACGTCATGGATGATAAATCACTTCCATGTGCTACTGACGAAAAACAGACACGTGCAGTTCCATGACGTGTTAGAACAGGAGAGCCCATAGAAGTTGTGTTTAATGAAGAGGAACTGGTGTCACGTTCAGTCTAAAAAATTGAACTCTAGCCAGAACTAGGCCTCTTTCACAGAATTCTCACTCTTGTGCGCAAACAAAGTTCTGTCGATTGTTATGAGTTCCTCCAATTGATTTGCCACAACTTCTAACATTAACTGGCCACAAGAGGAAAGGGGAGTTGCAGTTCCACATTATGGAGAAACATGTCCACAAAACCATTGCTTGCCAGGTGCAAGTTTGTGTGAAGTGTGGAGAGCAGCTCCTCTTACTGCACATGATGTTCTAATCCAATATAAACACAATGGACAATAGACTTTGAGGTTAATGGAATTAGCACCATAGAGGACTAATAGAATCAGTGTCATCATGTGTCACACTGGCATTGAGAGAAATGTCCATTCTAGTTACATTACTGAGACAATCTGTCAGATTGCATTTCAACAGGAAGGGAAGTCAAGCGATTAAATAGAACCATATCAGTTTTTCAGTTAAATTAATCCATGACGTGTCATATTGTTGCGTTGTCTTTGGTATAACATTAAATTGAACAATGTCAGTAAGTCGTGGGCAGGATTACAATCAAACAACCATTATATACGCTAACAGTCAAAAGTTTGGACACACCTACTCATTCAAGGGTTTGTCTTTATTTTTACCATTTTTTTCATTGTAGAATAATAGTGAAGACATCAAAACTATGAAATAACACATATGGAATCACGTAGTAACCAAAAAGTGTTAAACAAATCAAAATATATTTTATATTTGAGATTCTTCAAATAGCCACCCTTTGCCTTGATGATAGCTTTGCACACTCTTGGCATTCTCTGAACCAGCTTCATGCGGTAGTCACCTGGAATGCATTCCAATTAACAGTTGTGTCTTCTTAAAAGTTAATTTGTGGAATTTATTTCCTTCTTAATGCGTTTGAGCCAATCAGTTGTGTTGTGACAAGGTAGGGGGGGTATACAGAAGATAGCCCTATTTGGTAAAAGACAAAGTCCATATTATGGCAAGAACAGCTCAAATAAGCAAAGAGAAAGAACAGTCCATCATTACATAAAGACATGAAGGTCAGTCAATCCGGAAAATTTCAAGAACTTTGAAAGTTTCTTCAAGTGCAGTCGCAAAAATCATCAAGTGCTATGATGAAACTGGCTCTCATGGGGACCGCCACAGGAAAGGAAAACCCAGAGTTACCTCTGCTGCAGAGAATAAATTCATTAGAGTTACCAGCCTCAGAAATTGCAACCCAAATAAATGCTTCACAGAGTTCAAGTCACAGACACATCTCAACATCAACTGTTCAGAGGGGACTGTGTGAATCAGGCCTTCATGATCAAATTGCTACAAAGAAGCCCCGTGTAGCTCAGTTGGTAGAGCATGGCGCTTGCAATGCCAGGGTTGTGGGTTCGTTTCCCACGGCGGGGCCAGTATGAAAAAAATTAAATAATACACTCACTAACTGTAAGTCGCTCTGGATAAAAGCGTCTGCTAAAATGTAAATGTAAACCACTACTAAAGGACACCAATAATAAGAAGAGACCTGCTTGGGCCAAGAAACACGAGCAATGGACATTAGACTGGTGGAGGAGGAGGTGTTATGGTATGGGGGTGCTTTGCTGGTGACACTGTCTGTGATTTATTTAGAATTCAAGGCACACTTAACCAGCATGGCTACCACAGCATTCTGCAGCGATACGCCATCCCATCTGGTTTGGGCTTAGTGGGACTATCATTTGTATTTCAACAGGACAATGACCCAACACACCTCCAGGCTGTGTAAGGGCTATTTTACCAAGAAGGAGAATGATAGAGTGCTGCATCAGATGACCTGGCCTCCACAATCCCCCGACCTCAAACCAATTGAGATGGTTTGGGATGAGTCGGACGGCAGAGTGAAGGAAAAGCAGCAAACAAGTGCTCAGCATATGTGGGAACTCCTTCAAGACTGTTGGAAAAGGATTCCAGGTGAAGCTGGTTCAGAGAATGCCAAGAGTGTGCAAAGCTGTCATCAAGGCCAAAGGTGGCTATTTGAAGAATCTCAAATATAAAATATATTTTGATTTGTTTACCACTTTTTTGGTTACTACATGATTCCATATGTGTTATTTCATAGTTTTGATGTATTCACTATTACTCTACAATGTAGAAATAGTATTACATTAAAAAAAATTCAGCCCTGTGTGAGTAGTTGTGTTCAAACTTTTGACTGGTACTGTATATATATATATATATACAGTGAGGGGAAAAAAGTATTTGATCCCCTGCTGATTTTGTACGTTTGCCCACTGACAAAGACATGATCAGTCTATAATTTTAATGGTAGGTTTATTTGAACAGTGAGAGACAGAATAACAACAAAAAAATCCAGAAAAACGCATGTCAAAAATGTTATACATTTATTTGCATTTTAATGAGGGAAATAAGTATTTGACCCCTCTGCAAAACATGACATAGTACTTGGTGGCAAAACCCTTGTTGGCAATCACAAAGGTCAGACGTTTCTTGTAGTTGGCCACCAGGTTTGCAGACATCTCAGGAGGGATTTTGTTCCACTCCTCTTTGCAGATATTCTCCAAGTAATTAAGGTTTCGAGGCTGACGTTTGGCAACTCGAACCTTCAGCTCCCTCCACAGACTTTCTATGGGATTAAGGTCTGGAGACTGGCTAGGCCACTCCAGGACCTTAATGTGCTTCTTCTTGAGCCACTCCTTTGTTGCCTTGGCCGTGTGTTTTGGGTCATTGTCATGCTGGAATACCCATCCACGACCCATTTTCAATGCCCTGGCTGAGGGAAGGAGGTTCTCACCCAAGATTTGATGGTACATGGCTCCGTCCATCGTCCCTTTGATTCAGTGAAGTTGTCCTGTCCCCTTAGCAGAAAAACACCCCCAAACCATATTGTTTCCACCTCCATGTTTGACGGTGGGGATGGTGTTCTTGGGGTCATAGGCAGCATTCCTCCTCCTCCAAACACGGCGAGTTGAGTTGATGCCAAAGAGCTCGATTTTGGTCTCATCTGACCACAACACTTTCACCCAGTTCTCCTCTGAATCATTCAGATGTTCATTGGCAAACTTCAGACAGGCATGTATATGTGCTTTCTTGAGCAGGGGGACCTTGCAGGCGCTGCAGGATTTCAGTCCTTCACGGCGTAGTGTGTTACCAATTGTTTTCTTGGTTACTATGGTACCAGCTGCCTTGAGATCATTGATAATATCCTCCCGTGTAGTTCTGGGCTGAT